CTAATGTATGAAATGGACTTGTGTTGTAACTCGTTCTCATTATTGGATCATTGGGAAAAATGTGGATTTTTCGGGTTCTCCCTCGGGGTGTGCCCGACGGACACCGCTCGCTGTAGCTTGCTTTCAGGGTGCTTAGTGTCTGGTGAAAGACGAGCACCTCCGTAAGTATACTATTTCGGGTGGTTCTGCCACAACGTTGTGCAATAAAAAGGTGACACGTGACCCAAACCATCTCCAATGCAACCGGCTATAGCATGTACTCGTGGAAAGCATCTTCAACGGTAGCACCCGCCAGCATGGCTGCCCCCTACCACGCATGCAAAAACACCTCTATGACGGTCAATTTTTCGTCATAGATCAAGCCACTTCTATGACGAATTTCTAGATTCATCTTGGAAGTTCAAGTATGGCGCGTTTTCTATGATGAACCATTTTTTGTCATAAATTCATCATAAAATTAAAATTATGATGAATTTGATTTCTTCAGTGACGAAAGTTGTTCTTCATGAAAGAAGAAATTCCTAGTAGTGGCAGAGGGCACAGCAGGGCAAGCAAACGCAGACGGGTAGTAGCAGGAAGCGGGCAAGCAACAGCAGGGCGCGGTGAGCAGCAAGGCGGGCATGCATGCTCCGATGCGCGTCCATGAGTGGGGCAACCAGAGGGAGCACGTGGGAAACAGCCACCTGACGTGGGACCAGTCACAGAGGTAGGGGCACTGGAGCGTTGCCGTTTTCTACCGATCCATTTTGGTTGTTGGAGGAAGTTGCGCTCTGCTGGCTGTTCGGCCACATCGTCCGCGAGTGTGCAGGGTTGGATTCGCTGCACGGGCAAGCACGTGCTGGGCTGAGCGGCGGGCATGCTGCGGGCGTCCGGGCGCGTGCTTCTGTCTGGACGTTCGGGCGCTAGTAAGCCCATTGACAAAGGATCTAATGGTTAGAAAATTTGATTGTGAGCTTCTGGATTTCTCACCCGAGTTTGGAGTAGCCGCAAACTTTTTTTAATGTGCGTCCCCTGTCCGAGGAAGAAGTTTTAGAAGATATTTATCGCATCTCGTTTCTTGTCCATCTGGAAACTGGAGGTTGATTCAATTCAATTGCTGAAACGATGGTCCTTATTTCATTGATGATCATGAGCAACGTTGGTGGTTAATTGCATTCTCCCTCAAAGCAGCAATCAAACGAAAGCAGTGGCTAACAGAGGCGCGTCGCGCATACTCAGCGCAAGCAAACAAGCATGAGGTGAATCTGATCAGAGCTGAGCTGAGGCGCGCGCGGTTGCCTGCAAGTTCCTGGCCAAGTGTCAATTGTTCATCACACAAAAAGCGTAATTGGTTTGTTGCCCATCCCAACAAGGTTCATGCTAGGAAGCCAAGCCCACACTGGTTAGGCTAGATGGATGCAACAAGAGTACAATTGGTTGTTTGTCAGGATAGAGTTTGGTCACCTGCGTGCAATAACAAGTTAGAGAGCAACAAGTCTTTTTAGCCTCCTCCATGCATCTGCTTGCACCTAGCTGGCCAGGCTCTAGAGAAACGCAAATGAAACTCAGTATCTATTTGTTTGCCAGGACATGCCTGGCCCATGAGGATGAGTTCGGCCAGGGCATCCCCAGGCTGTCCACAGGGGTGCAACTTGGCTTGTTTGGTGGTGCTGTCCGCATCAGAGGTGGGTCCTAGCACAACTACCATCAACCACCACCTAGAGATCATTTTTGTTTGTCTGGTTGCAGCATGTTCGGCTCACTCATGGATCCAACAGGTGGAGTTATCCCCCATTTATAAGGCCTCTTGGAATAATCAATTACCATACATGGAACCAATATTGATTTAACTTACCAACAAACATTATAACCCTCTCACTGACCTTAACATCAACACTAATGATTTAACTTTAACCAAGTTCCACAAATACTAATACGTCATGTCTAAACATTATGGTTGCATGAGCCACACATGCTCATCATCTTGCATAAGACACTAAAAAGAGGAAAATAAGAACAATACCAACAATTTGTGAAGAACAAACCTTTGTAGTACTAATAGGTGGTTGAGTGCAAGAATGAACACAAGGCAGATAATTTTCTAAGTTGATAGTTGAGTTGCAATATCGAACTGCTTCATTGTGGTTTTTGTATTTGCAGTGACACACTAGGATAATCCTTCACTTGGGCCTGGCATCTGTGCCAGTTGGAGGAAACTCCAGGTCAACGCTCCTTGAACACAACATACCAAGCACACATTGATTTGCAACAAAGACCATGCTTGTTACATAGAAACCATCAATTAGGATTATTGTTATCACATCACTGGTGCATTCAAGTAGTGTGTAAACAGTAGGAAAAGTTTAGAAGCCTCAGTCTAGAGTGTAGCAAAGTGAATGCATGAGTTTGCATTGGAGGTCATCAATTTGATTTAGTTTAAATCGATGATCTCAAAAGGAAAACCGATGCATGGCATCGATCATGTAAGAACATCAAGGTAGATATCATAGGCATAATCTGTAGCCTTAGATTTAGTAAATTGTTTAGATAAAAATGGAATCATTGGTGGCTCTACTTCATTGTAATAAATACCTCAAGGTTACCAAAAAAATCTGGCATGATCTGTGGCCTTAGATTGAGCAAATTGTTTAGATAAAAAAGGAATCACTAGTGGCTCTACTTCGCTGTAATAAATGCCTCAAAGTTACAAAAAACCTGGAACAAGCAAAAAGCAAAAAAAAAAAAAAAACAACGAACAAATAGGGGTCTTGTTTGTTTGCCTAGAAGAAGGTAGTACTAGTGCACTGAGCTAAATGCATCTAGTTGTCCAACAATGACCATGACAATGAAATCATAATATTGCAGATAGTCAAAATGCAATATTACAGAGAGTCAAAGCACAATATAGTTACCCAGTGAAAGCACAAATCACCAGCAACCCAACAAAATTCAGCAGGAACAATAGTAGTGCCACCTCATCCTAGTGTGTGTCATAGTCCAAAATCAATAAAAACCAACAACAGAGTCCATACAATACATCAACAATATATATTGCAAGACCATATAAAGCAATAGTTGAACAAAACGCTGCAAACCTACAACATGGAGCATATCATCAAGTAATATAAGTAATCTAGGTTCACATCACAAGGCTTCTGGGAACATATAGCTCAAGTGTTCACATAGCCTACAATAGAGATGCATCCAGTAGGAGCTCCACAATACATGTACCATATAGTTAGCCACCCCCCAAATGAGACACCAAAACATACCCAAAAGATTAGTTGTAGTCAACAAAACTACCTTGCTGCACATGAGGCTACCAACATCAGTACCCAAAAGTTAGAGATAGAGAGTGGTCAAGGAGGGTGGAAAAATCATACTCTCAACTGCATCCCCATCTTTCTTGCCATATAAGCAAACAACCTGCATGTAGTAGTTCTTGGCCGGGAAGGTTCTAAGCCAAAGAACCCTATGGCTATCCACCATGTTCACAAACCCCTTAGATTGGGACTAGTTGTCCGGCAGTTGGGTGAAGGCCACGATGAGGGCCTCCTCTGTGAACCTAAGCATGTCCATTGACAGCATGGTATAGGTCAGCATCGAGCAGGCCCAGTCTCCCTTAGGGCATTGGCAACATTGTTAACAACATCATTCATTTTGGTCATCATGAGTAGGATATCATCCTCACTGAAGTATGATCTCATGTGTTTACCTCCACCATTAGAAGTCAACACATATGTTGCCTTGCTGCCCTCACTCGTCCCAGTCTTGTCATCACCCCTCTTGATTCACAGTTGTGCCTTCCATTTTGCCACGCCAAGAGATTTATTGGACCCAAGGGCAAATCATCCTATTACCATGCCACAGCCAAAGATGGTCTCTACCTGAGCATAGAACTTGATGGGGGCCTTGAGTTGCTCAGCATCCTTAAGATGGTCCTACAGAAAGTTAAATCAAGGAACCAGTTAGCTAGTCAAAATATATTTGTGAGCTTGTTAAATGTGTGAACAGAATATACATACAACACTTACCTTAATGTGGCCAAGAGAGTGATCGTGGTCAGCATGATTGCAAAAGTGTCCTCATCCCACAGGCCGGGCGAACAAGCTCAGAAAACAGCTTTTACATGCAGGGGGCTAGGACCAATTGCTAGACTGGGCATCCCATCAACATAGTATTACATTCCACTAAAAAAAATCCACATAGTATTGCATCTGCCCAGGGCCTAATCTGGCTGAATTCAGCCGCCATCTAAGGGCCTGTTTGGCAGAGCTCTGGCTCCTTTGAAAATGGTTCCGGCTCTGACTCCTTTGAAGGAGCAGCTCCTCTGGAGGAGCTGAAGCCGTTCTGAAAAACGTTTGGCAAAACGACTCCTTCGCACTAGACGACGTGAACCCACAGCAAGGAGCCACGCGAAGCTTGTTTTTTAGGCTTCTCTTGCGCAGGCAAAAAATGGCTCCGGCTTTTGACCGGCTTCCCATGCGGAGCCCTTTTCAAAACAAGCGTTTGGCACAGCTCCTGCAAGAGCCGGAGCTGAAGCCCCTGCAGGAGCCCTGCCAAAGAGGCTCTAATAATCACGCTCATTGTGCAAACCATGCCACATCTCAACTTGGATTCTCAATTGTGTATTGATAAGAACAACCTCTGATCAGTTTAAAAATTATGCACTGCCGTGAAACTTACCCGCGCTGCAAAATATCATCAAACCAAGGCAAAATCGAAAAAGATGACAAGCACATAGTGAAGGAAAAAAAATGAAATTTTCAAGCAACAAGTACTAGTAACCAGATCACTACAAGAAAACATTATGATAAGCCATCCCAACATAAACATTATTAAACCACAAAAATCCATGACAAAAGCAATAAAACGGTGAAAACGAGAACGGCGATAATGTTCTGAAAACGCGACTACCCCGCTGAACTGAGTCTAAACGTTATTATTCTCTCTTGACAAATCTGAAACGGTAGAAGCATTATTATTCGACATTGTGCCTGACTCTTGTGCCTCGCCTTGCATCAAGCTGGGATGACGATGTTGGCCTTGACGGCAGCCTTGATCTTCTTCAGTGCACGACAGAGCAGCTTGCCAACGTCGTCAAAGGCCTCGGCGGTGACATGGTTATCCGATGGGGATGAGCCGGGCAGCAGTGCCTGACATGCCACAGTGAGGAGGGAACCAGCAGTGTTGTCGCGGCCGACGACCGCGCTGGAGGAGCTCGGAGCATGCCGAGCCCTGCCGTGGCCATCCGGGAGGACGGCGAACCCAGACGGCAGGAGGAAGATGGAGGCGTGGTCACCACTGTTAATGACCGCACGCATGGAGTCCTCTTCGACAGGAGCGTAGACCACCATGGAGCATGACGCGTCGGTGCACGCCTGTTGCAAGATCAGCACCTTTTTGCTGTCGATTCCATCGGTCACCTGCAACAGAATTGAATCAGATAGATATCCAGTGACTCTCTGCTGTGATAACATTGCTAGCTAGAACGTACTGCAAATAATAAACTCACATTGGAGTTGAGCACGGAGACAGCATTGCCATGGAGATGGCCCGTGGCCACAGAGCAGAGCTCAGTCACCGCCGCGCCATTGGCGAAGGCGTCCCACTCGCCGCGGCGCTGGCCATCGCAGAGGTACTGGAATACAAGCTGCGGCGGCGTGTTCGGCAGCCACACCGTGGTGCTGGCGCTCAGCACCAGGTCAGCCACGCTGCCGGCTTTCTTCCAGGTCACCATGCGCACAGCTGCGTCAGTGCTCCCGGAGCCCGTGCCGGTACTTGCAGGCCACTCGTAGAGGTTGCTAGACGGCTGAGTGACGGGACCAGAGACAGCCGAGTAGAAAACCGCCATCATCCTCTGGGCCAGCTTCAAGATCCCCCTCTTCCCCATTGACGAAATGGCAGCTGCTATGGAAATTTTCAAGGCCGATATATATATATCGTTCAACTGTTCCCAGCTAATTAATCGAAGAGCTAGCATATATGAAAATGAAATCATGGGTTTTGTCCATGACATGACTGACCTGTGTTGTCGTTTCTTGGGACTTGGCTGGAGTGCAGAGCAGCGAGGTATTCGCACTTCCTCCGGAGCGACGCGAGCCAGCGGTGTGCGCCGAGAGCCTTCCCAGAGCGGAACAGTGGCCTGAACATTGTTGGCACGGTGGTCTCGTCGTACTCCGCGTGGACAACCCATGTGATCTGCAATGCACAAGATAATTTGAAGTTCAAGGTCTCAACATTACTGTTTACTGATTGTGACAGTAAGAGTAGTACTGCTGCAGGCTGCACTTGCCTTGCAGTAGCCATTGGGCATGTCCTCAACGAGGCAGCCGGACGGCAGCAGCCTCCAGCCCGTGTACGACGCCGGCACAACAGTGTTGTTTGCAACGGCAGCTTCAGCGATGATGCGGCTGCCTGGCGGTCCAAGGATGGCGTCGACGGACACGTCCATCACAGCCCACTGCCCCTCCGCCACTGGCTTGGTATACCTTAGAAAGTTGATTCTGCGGTTGAGCAGACGTGGCGACTGCACCAGCAGCTCTGCGGTCATCTGCAAGTGCCCGGCGATCCACAATGTCAGTTGAACGAACAACCAATGGGATAGGAGTAGTTCGCTGGCTAAAAAAACACAGATGTACGAAAACGAACGAATATGCATGCGAACCGAACTCACCAGCTGAATACGGGAGCCGAAATTGCCACTGAAGATGGCAGCATCACTCCTGGCGGTCACACCCGCCACGATGCTAGGGAACATCTCGGACCAGCACTTCTGATCGACAAACAACACAAACACAAGCACCATATTAAAGGAACTTTAGATGCATATTTAGCATTGCGATTGCTGCAGAAATGGATCGGAGAGAAGATGTGTGTCCAGTGCACGTACCGCGTCTGTGAGGATGGCGACGAGGTAGGCAGCGCCGGCAGAGGCTCTGACCATGCCAGTCTCCCTGGTGGCCTCCACGACGAATTCGTCGTCCGGGCAGAACCCATGGTGCACCGGGAGTGCTCTCTTTTGGTACCCCAGGTAGCTCAGCACCTCTCCGTCCGGGGTGGGCAACCACAACGGCTCCCCCTTGGTCGCCAGCAGCAGGAACTGGTCCATGGCAGCCTCCGCGTGCGCACGGAGACGAGCGGCGCGGTCGGCCCTTCTGGCCCCCTCGCTGGCGGACAGCACGGCGGGGCGGCCGCTGGTGATGACTGGTGGGCGCTCGGCCGGGGGCACCGAGAGCAAGATCTGGTTCAGCAGGGCGGTGGCGCGCATGTTCTCGTCTCTGAGCCTCGCGTTCTCCATCACCAGGCGCCGGTTCTCGGCCGTCAGCTCGATGGGCACCGTCGCGCCGCCGCACGTGAAGCAGGACTTGGTTAGTATGGCCTGACGGAGTGACACGTTCTCGGCCATCAGTACAGCGTTCTCGTGCTGAAACACCTTACTGTTGTGCACCAGAGCCTTCGCCTGCAGGAATTTTGAAAGAAACTGTAACCGTCGATTCTTTCCACCATTAGCTGTACATTTGATCATGCATGCATGGAACGAAAATGAGATGTGTGTGATTGTGACCTGCATCTGGGAGCGCTGGTTTTGGAACCAGTACTGCACCTGTCTGGCCTGCAGGCCAATCTTTGCGCCGAGCACCCGCCGTGTCGGCTGATCTGGGTGGTCATACCGTTGGAATGCACTGCACAACACAACACAAGATAGATATATAATAAAGGGTACTAAATAATTTTTGGGCTCCAAAGTAAATCATGAAAACATTAAATGCTTTCTTGTTTGATTTCAGTTCTATTATTACGCTCTCAGTTCTTGGATCTGCTCCGGGGTGTGGCGCTTCTGACGTTTAGACGCCGTCTCAAACTCTGGAGTGTAGTCCTCGTCGTTGTAGTCTTCATCATCAGTGTAATCAGTGTCCTCGTTAGTATAATCATTGACCTTATGCCCTTCTTCCTCCATGGGTTACCTTGCACTAGCAGATTAAAAGGTATAATCAGTGTCCTCATCAGTATATAGTAACTTAAAAGGGTTATATACTACGATAATTCGGTTACCAACTAGGAGGTAATAGCTCAAATAAATATGAGCCATTGTTTTATTTTATTTTATGAATTAGTAAACCATTAAACAAGTCATGTTATAAACACGTCATGTTAACTATGACTTTATGTTATACATTTTTTGCGATTTTATGAAGGCAGTAAACCGTTAAACAAGTCATGTTATAAACACGTCATGTTAACTATGACTTTATGTTACCCCTTCCCTCATGTTCCCCATGACAATTGGCCCACCATCCCCTCCCCCCCTCCTCATATATAAGTCGCGACGCCCAGTATTGTGGCAATTGTGCAGGGCTGGATTATGGCCCTCCCCAAGCCCGCAAGCCCGGAGGAATTTGGAGGAATCCTCCCGACGGCATCGAATGAATCTAGAGAAATTTCCTCCATCCTCCACGGATCCGACCTCATCCATCCTCCTCCTGCCTCTCTCCTCCGCCCCTGCTCACTCCCTGGAGAAAGGCGGCCGCGCCTTTCCCCCGTTCTTGCGCCGCCTCTCCGCCTCCCAGCAGCGGCGTCTCCCTCACGATGCCGCGGACGACAAGCGCGCCGATTCAATGGCGATGGTCGGATTCCTCAAAGAACGCCTAAAAAAAACGCGCAGATTAAGCTCCTGCTCTCCCTTCCTTCTCTCTCAGGCCTCGGGCCACTGAACGGTCAGTCCTTCTCGGGCGGCTGGCCCGGCAACCCAGCCAGGCCGTGCACAGGCCCTGAACGATGTGTGGCCCGGGAGGCCAGCAGTGGTTTCCTCTGGCCATAGTGACGAACTGTAAGTTCAATTATAATGTGTATGAACAATGAAAAATAATGGGTACATAAAAAGTAGTGAACAGTGTTTGAATGCAGTGAAAAAATGAGTAGCGAACAGTCGCGGCCTCCATTTTATTCCTTTGAACTGTATTCAAATAATAGGTACATGAAAAGTAGTGAACAGTGTTTGAACGCAGCGAAAAAGTGAGTAGCTAACAGTCGCTGAGGCCCTTCGCGGCCTCCATTTTTTTCCCTGTTGAAGGGATAATATATATATATATATATATAGTATATATATATATATATATATATATATATATATATATATATAGGCCCACCGCCGCTCCAACTGGACAAGCTCCACGCCCGGCCTAGCCTCGCAGGACCAGGACCGTCTGCCCGAGCCCCGAGCAGCCGAGCGGCATCACTGGCTATAGAATAAATTATTTTGTAGCCAGCTATAGGATAGTAGTTATATATATATATATATATATATATATATATATATATATATATATATATATATATATATATATATATGACATGTTACCAAATTATGGTTTGCTATAATAACATTAGCTAGCCCAATTATAGGGACAAAACAACACGATTAGAAAAACTTGTTATATGTATAAGAAAGATTGACAACAAAATGGCGGTTGGAGAAAAATACGCACATGAATAAAAAAATCGCCGCATAAGCCTAACATGTCAGCTAACACACAAGGTACACATGACAGCTAACACGGAGGCGTTACATGCACAAAAAAGCTAACATGCTGCAGCCTTCCCTTTCTTTTACTCATTTTCCCAACCGAGGGCGAGTCACTTTCCGGCATCGATCTCGGCAGCTCTCCCTCGCCTCTAATGGCCTCTTCGGCGCCAGAGGGTAGGAGAACCTCTCGATTTTGATTGTGGTATATATACATACAGTATGTGCATGTTTGGATGCATCCCAAGGAAACGTGCCTGTCATAGGCAAGTGTTCCCAGGCGCATTCCTCAGCCTATAGTCAAGATTGCTACTTGGCTGCTTAGCTGCCTAGAAGATAGCATCCAAACACATCTTATACTACTAGTTTCTTTTATAAATGTCTTACAGTGAAATATGGTCAAGGGAAAAAGATTGGCACTAATGGAAGTCGAGGGAAAAACACGCACATGAATAAAAAATCACCGCCTAAGCCTAACATGCCAGCTAACACATGAGGTACACGCGGCACTGCTAACATGGAGGCATTACATCATAAAAAGCTAAACATGCCGTGGTCTTCCCTTTCTCAACTCGTTTCCCCTTGCTACACAGGGCGAACCGAGGGTGAGCGCTTTCCGGTATCGATCTCGGCTGCTCCCCCTTGCCTTCAGTGGCCTCTTCGGCGCTAGAGGATGGGGGAACCTCGATTTAGATGGCGAGCATACCTATCTTATGCTACTAGACTTTATATTAGGTACGTTAGGTTCAATTTATCACGTATTAACCGAAGATAATAGATGATGGCAACCATGTGATCTAATTAAACGAATGTCCCATATATGTTTTATACTACCATAGCAAAATCCAACTTAAAAACAGAAATTAAAATGGAAAAAATGGTCAATAGATACCTTTGAGGTAAGCCTCTGTTCCCTTCGCCGGCACCGAGAAGAGGAAACTATTGGAATATGGTTCTTGAAAATTGGAATAGTAGTGGTGCGGTGAGCTAGTACTCTGAGGATGCAAAATACTACCGGCGGCTGTGGGTATTTAACGATGTCTGTGGCCACGCAAATTACTAAACTGCCCATAAAAAGTTGAAGCACTAAATACAATTATATATTAATATAGTATAATATAATATCTGAAAGTAAACAGTTAGTAATAGATATAGTACATTATTCATACTACTGAACTATGATGTATATAAACATACATACATAAATTTTATTGAATAATCGAGATATCATCATCTTTGGCATTTATTTCTTTAGATGCTTCATTATGGCATGCTTCATTCTTAGTTGTCATAACTAGCACCATTTCACAACTTCTTAATTTGCTTCATTGTGAGTTATAATTTCTTTTGGCAATGCTTAACTGTGTCCAAACTATAAAGCTACCAATTTATCGTAAGCACCACCGAGAAAAGATATACAACATTAATATATTTGGTTTATTAAAACCACCCTCTATCTGCTCACTCGAGAGAATCAGAGCATGGGTGTCTCTTGTGAACAGTGACACATGTCATTGTCTATTTTGTAAAAAAGGCCTCTACATTTTAGAAATTCAAACCATCATCTGACTTGTCCTCTCAAAACCGTAACCGTGTTTAGGTATTTTATTACTAGAACCTTGATGTAAATTTTATTTCAACGTGAAGAAGGCAAGATTCGATAACCTTGTCATTTTGCAACAACCTCCTTGAAGTTTGTGGAGAGCCCCCTGCAGTGGCATAGCCCAACCCTAGCACAACACACAGTCTCATCTCTCCCTCCTCTTTCTCTCTTTCTTAGGACTGGCAGCATGGGTGGCAACTGGCAACATCCTAGATTGGCGGCAAATTGGAAGGTGGCTTGACCACGAGCATCGACATTACAGTCTATGAGGGGATTCAACAACAATCTTGTTCTTGGGAGAGTTGACGATGATGGTAGAAGGCCATGGTGGCCCAACTACAACAGTGAGCATTGCAAGGATCATATGCCTAGGATCATACCTTTAAGTTTTACTCATTTAAATGATTGACAAAATAAGCCTAGGACAAGCATGTGAGCTAAAATGTGTTCTATAGGTTATAATAGGTCCCTAGCGATGCAAGGCTAAAAGTTTGATCAAGATCCAAGTTGAAACAGGAGAAGACACTACGAATATTCTTGCTGGAGCATTATCAGGCTCATCGGATCATATAGTGGAGTAAGGTAAGTTGGCCAAGAACACAATGCCCATTGGATGATACGGTGAAGATTAAAGAGGAATCACCCAACGGATCATCCAGTGCACATTTGAAGAACCTAGAAGGTTAAGGACACCTAGAAGATTAAGCCTAATATTGTGTCATGGAGTGCATGCAAGCAAGCCATGGCATTGAGGTCTAGCACAGAAGATAAGTACAAATCTCTTACTGATGCCACCTAAAAATCCTAGTTTTGTTTTGGTAATTAAGTGACAACCTTAGGTGGACTAATATGTGTTTATGTTGAGATACACATGTATTTAGTCCACAAGTACACTAGTATGAGCTATACATAGAGCCATGGTGAAGTGGCTTGGATATGTTGAAAGTGCTCAACTAGTGAAGATTGGAGGAACTCGTTGTATATGAGACATGACATAGAGTCATGTTGCTAGGTGGACAAGATCAAGAGGCAAGACTTGGCTACAAAGGACCGGGTTGCAAGTGTGAAGGGCAAGCTAGAGGCTCGGGTGCGATGGACCATTGAGGCGGTGAAGCGTGAGTAGAGAGCTTGGCATCGATGGATGGAGGCAATGGTGAAGAGCAAGCAAACCTGCAATCGATGAATCAATAAGGCCATGTAAAGCTATGAAGAGGATCATATCGTTTAAGAGATATCAAGCCAAGTGTTGATTCAAGTTGATAATCAAGTGGCTTGATGGTGGACAATGACGGAAATTCATCCTATGGGAAATGGTCAAGGTAGCGTGGTTGGCTACATTGATTAATGAGGATGCTTGTGTGGCATCACCAATGAGGAGAGGGAATTGAATGCGCAAGTCAAGTTATGTTTGTGGAGCATTTCATTTCACCGTTCAATGGTTGAGTAGAGAAGTGCTAGACTGGGTTTAGGATACATAGTCATACTATCAAGAGGGGCATTCTTATGAGCTAAATGGTTATGTAGTGCCACTAGGTGAGATCTACCTCGCAATGCATTTAGATCGAGTGGCATGGAAAGGAGCAAGTAAAACCTTTGCAAAATGGTTTTGAAAATGCTAACTCAGTGTGCTAAAGGATTTGTTCTAATATTGGACAACATTTGGGATTTAGCATGTTTCAAAAAGGATTTCGACAGAGCTTGGAGTGCTGTTTTTAGTGCACCAGATTTGTCCTATGGTAGCACTAGAGTTGGCACATTTGTTAGCTAAGTTTTCAATGCTTTCACGTTACCTTCTCATGTTCACCAGAGTGCATGCACTGGAGGTTTCACAGAG